ATATGTCAGTCAGGGGTCGTCAGTGTGCTTAATAATAGAAAAAGTTGGGGACCAGTGAAGTAGGTTCTGCATGTAGTCTCTACTCAGTTAAGATCATTTGCTGTAATGTTAAATTGTAAAATTGTGCATGATTATATTACAGTGTAATTTGCATAATGTATACAGTCCTTATGTAGTGTTTCATATTAAGGGAATGGTACAATATTATGAATGTATTCACTGTAAAAATGGCAACAGATAAGATAACTGTACTATATATATAGGTATATATTTTACGCACTATTACTACCTGTACTTGAATTGTACTGTAGATTCACAGTGTGTCTCTAGTGAAGCATCCTTATGGATTCCTTCTCTCTCTCGGTATCATAATGCCATATGTTCTGTATGCGTGCAGCTGCATACAGTGTGGTACAGTATCTCTGTGATGATGGTCAGTATCTCCCTACATCACACCACTGTGCACGTGCGCTCACCGTAAAACGTGATGGTGCCTGTCGCATGATGGCTCGCGGTTTCCGCGAGAACCAATAACAACGCGGAACCGGAGCAGATGCGGGTATATCCGGGAGTAGTGCTCTTTGCAGTTGGTTTACTGACAGTGTCGAGTCCAAAGGCAGCTGTGCGCGGTGGATTGTGGGTAGCGTAGTTCCGACAGCGGAGAGAACGACACTTATGAACGCGACAGCGGTACGCGAGCTACTACATGTCCCAGAACGCACTGCGGCATTTGAGCTGTGTGTATGTGATGCAGAGAGAGAGAGAGGAAGATTTAGGAATTCGTCTGCAGACTTGGGGCTGCGCTGTTACTAAAATAATGGTAAGTCCTCAAACTAAAAGCAAGCTACTTTTGAAAAACGGTCTCATTAACTGTAAGAAAGCGCAGGGTTTCCGTCGGTGGTCAGCAGGGTTTGCCAGAGACAGTTAGCCGCAGTGATTGCGAAGAGAAAATTCAACATTAGCTAACTTAAGCTAGCAAACAAGCCACTTTAGCTAGCTAGCTAGTTATCGTAGTTTTGAACGGTTGCAGACAAGATGACGGCTGATAAGAAACTGCGTTATGAGCTGTGCTTTACAGTGGCTTACACGCCTTAAACTGTTACACCGTTATATTTTTGGCCTTTGGACATTTAGCTAGCTAGCTGCCAGTCTTCAACTCTGGT